GGCGACTCTCAACTTGAGCCCATCGCGTACAGGTGCCCCACACAAGGCGACTCTCAACTTGAGCCCACTGCGTACTGGGCGGTACGGCACGGACGGGATTTTGTAAAGCTTCATTCCAGAGTTTCCCGTAAGGGCGCGCATTGGACCGTCACGGCCGCGGCGGGACGATCAACACCTACCGCCGCTTGCGAAAAGTCCGAAGGAAAGTTCTTCTGGACATTCAGGCGCGCCATGGCTTCAGGATCGGGACGGCCTTTCCACCCTTTCAGTTGCAAAGTTATATGAAGAGTGTGGAACGAACATGAATATGTCCAATTTAATTAAGTTGATCCAGAATTATCCTGAGTTGTACAACGTGATATAAAATTTTATTTAATGTGTTACCTTGTTAGGAAGTGTAATTTAGTTGGTTAGCTAAACTTTCTGAATCAAGGAGTAACATTCCCAAATTTAAAATACTAGATATTTATAAGAAGTTGTGACGTAGTAGTGAAACGTGTTAGATGGGACGGTGAATAAATTATGCCATATTTTGAAATAATACATTCGTTCATTAATAAATGTAAATCGTAAATCGTATATGTCTGTATTTGTATAATTTATTGCAGCTTATTTGTGCCAATTATTTTCTTCCGTTTCTAAATGAAGTAATGAAATTATGACTATGTTCCTGTGTTTAATTTAATTATACACAATTACAATATTTCCCAAATATTTATTCACAAAGTATATTTTTCAAAATATCAAATTTAGCGAAATTTATCGAAAACATCGTTTGAGACATCCTAAAGTACTAAAATAATTTTTCGTCTTCCACCAGGTCGGAATATACCAGTAATTTGTGATCCCCTTTTATCACTCTTGTTTTGGTTAGAATAAAAGAAAATGTGAGCTATCTTCAACTCCTTGCCATCTTTTCTTCTTTTGCTATTAAAAAAGATGATCGCTTCTTTACTTAAATTATGATTACGTTTAATAATGTATAATGTAATGATAATTATGTTTACGTTTATATATAAAAATATTTGACTTTTCCAAATGATTCGGGATACCAAATTATTGATAATGAGTTCTCAAATTAAGCCAAAAATATTTAATCCGCTGATAACCAAATGGGATACTGGAGGCCCTGCTCGTTATTTGTTTTTCTGTTTACAGGTTCTGGTACCGGCCTAGGGTGGATTAATTTAATCATTTTATTCCTCCAGTTATGCGTACCTGAAAGTATAGATGATTCGAGCGATTTAGAGCACCATAACAGGGATTTTCCTCCTTTTGCCGATATTTGCACAAACCGGACGTGCTCGGCGCCGTGGACATGCTAGAGATTAAGTTGCAGGTTCCGAAACTTCTTGTCTGAAGTTTGCCTCTCATTATTATCCTTTATATAGTTTCTTTCTTCTTATAACTTTAACATGGAATTTCTTTAAATTTATGCTAATTTCAATTTTTAATCTTTATCTTTGTTATTCCCGTAGTTATATACTTTTTGTATTAGTCAATGTCGCTTGCGAATCTTATCCAGGATATTTGTAATTCCTTTCTATCCTTCGCATGTGTCCTTCCACAAGGGTACTTATCTCTTTGAACAGCTGGAGCACAATAGAAGCACCCTCATCAAATTTCTCTTAAATAAATTTAAAAGAAAAACAATCTTTCGTATGAGAAAGTGGCAAAATAACTGTAATGTTATGTTTTATGAACCACGTGCGCCATGAATCAGCGAACGGCCGGTGCAGAGTTCTGTATATGACGTTGAGAACGAAACTCTGGCCACAAAAGTGCAACAGTTGAGAGAGTGCACGGCAATACCGGTCAATTCTATCAGATGTTAAAAAAGTTTCAATTCCTGCGCATTTCCATTAAAATGGAAAATACTGTGCATGTGCTTACATGTTCCTACATGATATGATTCTTGAACTTCGCCGTATAAATATACACTCTTACGTCTTCCAAGTTTTAGAGACAATTTTAGTCATGAAGAGAGCTTCGTGAGTTCCAACTATTTTTGGCCTCGCCTTCCGCAGTTGCATCACGCCAGTGGGAAGTGAAAACTGTTCATTCATTCATTCAGAGCCACAAAGTTAATTTAAGTTTTAGGAGAGGGTCGCGTAGAAATAGGGTCGTTCTTTTGTGTTCTAAAGTACTTTCTTCATTACGCACTCATCGCGGTTCCGTTAGGTCATTCATGCTACCTTCTGGGTCTTTCTCGTAGTATTGATTTTCTTTGTGAACTCGCCAAAACGAGGTCATGAACGAATAGAGTTTTTGACTGTGAGATTCATGGTTGTGTAGCTACGAAATTTTACAAGACTTTTACAACCTTAGTAACATGTTCCTAATATTTAGATATTTTCAAAAGTGGAGAAGTTATTCCTATGTGTAATTATCGTTCATATCATTTTTAAATTGAAAAAATATACTGAATACTCCTACAACATCAATATCAAATTCCATGCTGTAACATTTACATCTTGCTATTTAGAAATTTAAAACATTATTAATCATATTTAACATACCATAACCGGCGTTCCCAAAGTTGTTTACTTACGCAATTGTATGACAAAAATATTTTTTGCAAGTGAAAAGTACCTTTACTATCAGGCGTATGAGGTATTCATTTTAAATTAAATGTACTGAGAGACACCTAGTATCATAAAGCGTAAAATTTCAACATAAGTATCCTGACGGCGGAGATCTGGTCCAACAAGGATTTTTCAAACACGCAACTAACACACTTCAATATCTTTTAAAAAGATACAAGTGTTATGCCAGAATATTTTTGAGGGTATGGTAGTGTTCTCTGTAACGGCAAATAAAACTCTACAACGGTAAATAATGTCTGTAAGCAATAAAGTAGTTATTATAAACTTTGAAGAAAAAAATTTGTTTCCGGACATTCCGAATTGTACCTTGAGCCGTAACTTTTATTTTCTCGCCAACTACGTGCTTGCGTAGTAGTGAAGATAAATTATTGTAATGCTGCGGCGGAAACTGGCAATTTTGTGACAGAAAACACTCGTGTTGCTTAGCCGTGATATAAAAAAGGGGGTAAATCATTTTGCTACATGTATTAAATTGCATCTTACAACACGTTGTGAAGTCTGAATCAATGTTTTGTGGATCCTTGATACATGAAAATATTGGTTAATGGCGAAACGTCTTCCTTCGTCGTCTGTCCTCTATTTGTCCGTCTGTGGAACCTAAACCATTCAGACAATTTTCTACAAAATTGATATTCCCAGCTCGATTTGGGCGACTCACTTCTCACAAAGATTTAATAACATTTTAAAATTATCTCAAAAATTGCTTCAAATTCTTGAAGCTTTTTCCTCAGATACAGCAAATGACGCGTAAAAAATGTGGCATGTCTCATGTTTCTTGAAATCTGTGATTTTTCCAAAATTGCAAAATTTTAACTATGTTTTCGTCATCTTTCTGCAACAACGATATTGAATATGAATGTTTTTCTTAATAAAATCTATTCTTCAAAGACAAATCATTAAATAAGACAATGTATAATTTAAATCGTTTTCGCGTGAAGAAATGTTGTAGAAATTTTTTAAACAATTACTTTCTCAAAAAACGACTCCAATTTTTTTATTCCTCTAGTAGAGTAAAGAACGCTAATAAAAATAGTCCCGTTATTAGAAAAATTTGTGTACTTTCAAAAATTTCCAAAAATGAATATTGCAAATCTCCAGTATTGGTTATTACATATTTTAATCAGTTTTTTTATTTTGAAAATACGCATAGTTTTCGCGCAATTTATGCTTAAAGTAAAGGCAATTTATGAACATTAACCTCATAACGGCTTCAAAGTTTTCTTTATTTTTTCTAGAATGTACGCTTATAAGAATGGCGCAAGTCCTATTATCGGCGATTTCGAAATATTTCTTTGATTATTTTGAAGAAGTTGCAAATAATCCGAGAATGTATGTTTATTATATAAGATCTTTATTAATTATTTCTAATGTGCACAGAAATTGAAATAAATCTATGTTGAGTTGGCCACGTGAGAAGTGTCTACGGTTTCGTTGCATTCAAAAAAAAACTCCAAAAACCAATGAAATAGTTTCAATTCTGAAAGCAAACTACAAATATTTTATTGTAGTTGTTTGCTCAAATTTAGAAACCAGTATGATGGTCTGTAGTGATAAAATTTCGAGCACACAATTTGCTGTACATTAACCAATGGAAAATAAATGTCTTATGTGCTGAGAATTTTTAATTGCTTCTTGATTATCTCTAATTGATTTGGAAACATCTTCTCTCAGAAAGAATGTGTTATCCGACTATATTCTTCTTATACTGTGCGTGCGGAATGAATTCTCTTACCCAGTGCGTCACTGCTTACAACACAGCTGTCGTCACGCGACAGGAAGACTTCTAGGAAGAAAACGTACGTCATTAAATATTTGCTTTTCACGTGTTGCGTTGTGGGACGGCGAACTATTGAACTGTGTATCTGCATGTACTTTTCTATATTAATGCGATAATGATAGCTGTTCTTGTTAAAATATTCAGTTCGTTGCGGGTTTTTTACGAGAGTATTTGCTTGTTCTGATCGGTGTTTTTTGCTATTTTTGTCCTTGGCTACCACGTGCCGCGAAGGAACCGAATTTAATTCCTCTGATGCTTGTAATAATCGTTGAGGTACTCTGCGTTCTCGGAATCCAACAACGTATGTACCGAATATTAGGATCACTGTGTTCCCAGAAATCGCACATACGTTAACGAAACTAACCCCTTTCTTTGCCCCGGAAGCAGGAAGCTCGGAATATCTCTTTAGGTTTGTCTTTCCCTGTCGGTTGTACTTGCATTATATTTTATATCCTTTCCTCATTTATTTGTGTTTACAAAAAAATGTTGTACTTCGACATATGATCTTTGTAGTAAATCTGTATCTTTGGTTCATTTTACTAATTGATAATGGATTTGGTTGAACCTGACAGTACCTTTCCAATTAAGCTCCCATATCTTTTCCCTAAACACCAATGATATGCATCTCTAGCGCGCGTCGCGGCCAGGTATATTTAATCCTCCTGCCTGAGCAGCTCTCGAGTTCCGCCGCCTCCCTGCACAAACGCGCAAGGGCGATCGCCGCCCCTTCTCGCCTCAGTCAAACTGCGAAGCCGAATTGCGCACCGCGTAAACTACAGAATTGTGCCGCCAGATGTCGTTCCAATACCAACACATTTTATGGCGACCCGGTGTGTACTTGTTTACGTACTTACGTAGAAAAGAGAAAGTAATGCCGCAGAAAAAAGTTAATTGGGGCCACACGATTCATTTATTTTGGGATTCTTGTATCGAAACCGTGGATAAAACTTGTTTATATATGTAATAAATTACTTACCGTAGTAGTCAGTGGTGATAGTAACAGTAACAATAGATTTGGTGTTTGTATTTGTTTTGTATTTAGCCATTATATGTCACGTAGAGGGCAATTGGCTTCGGTGCCATTATATCCCGAGGTTCCTCGACTGACATCCAACGAGGAACCCGTGATGTTTTGAATTTGCTTAATCTTCGTGACTTCACGTAGTTGACGAATTCGGCTAATGACACAGGTTTCGCAGTCGTGGCCTTCCAGTAGACCCATCCCAGCATTCGCCTGGATGACCGACGGAAACCACGAAAGCTCCGGTTAGAGTAGATGGAATGGAACGCCCCGGAGCGAAAGCCCCGAACAGCGACGAAAGCCCCGGGTCCCCCGAATTCAGTCAGCGCGCTACACCCTATCCACTGTGCTCGGCGCTTTGGTTTTGGCGTGAGTTAAAAATTTCATTAATACGCACACAATTTTCTCTTGATTTATCTCTTGATTCTAATTTCGATGTGAACTACTACGAGATATCTGCTGCAACCACTGAATAAAAAACCTGTAAATATGTATTTATTTCATTCTGTAACATATTTAAAATGAAGTAATAATTGAAATTTTCTTCAAATTTCTGTATGCGCTTTTCGTAGCTTCTGTGAAGAACACAGCCTACAGAAAAAAACATTTTACTCTCAACAAAACAGCCTAGATATCAAATATCTAGGAACATCCAGCGTGAAATATTCAGGACAAGACGCGATTCGCCTTCGCAACCTCGAGTAAAGAAATCTGCTCGAACACATTTCTGCCTGCACTGATGTCGAGAAAGACGTCAATGGAAAAGAATCGATCGCAGAGTAAATAGTCGAGGAAGACAGTCGCTCATCTGTCCTTGACCTGCGCTCCTCGGGGTCGCGAGGCGTGACACGGCGTGCGACGCGGGGAGGTAGAAGAGCGCGCGTTAGGCGCCCCTGCGACGTCCGTGACGCCGCGCGGCAG